GTGGGTCCGAACATGGGAACTCAGGATCGGGATAGGGGTTGGGATTGGGATCAGGACCGGGATCTCTGTGTATTGCCCTCCCAGCTCTGCCGCTGGGGGTTCTCCATTGCTATCCTGGGATTGGTTTTGGGATTGGGATTGGAATTGGAATTGGGATCGGGATCTCTGCGCATTCCCCTTCTGGCCCTGACGCTGGGGTTCTCCGTTGCTGTCCTGGGACTGGGTTTGGGATCGGGATTGGAATTGGGATCGGGATCAGGCTCTCCACATGTTCCCCTCCCCCTGCTGGGGGTTCTCCGTTGCTGTCCCTGCACCGGCAGCGGGGTCGGGAAATTCCTCCGGGATAAATCCCTTACACAAGAGGCTCCCGCCATCAATGGCTCCCTTCAGGCCGGCTCCGGGCTCTCCTCATTTTCCCGGATAATCCCCGGAGCTCGGAGCTCTGAGATTTGTTGGGAAGAGAGGAGGGAAAAGCAGGAAAGGCCTGAGGTGACCGTTCATGGGGGAGCGAGGGATCCCACAGGGGTTTGGGAACAAAATCCCACTTTATTCCCACTTTCCCATACCAACACCACACATTCCGTATGCCGGCGCGGGTTTGGGAATTCCTGTCGGGATATGCCCGGGATGAGGGAGTGGCCAGGGCAGCTCTGCCACCCCAAATCCATCCGTTATCCCCAGATTTCCGGGAAAAGCTATTACAGGAAGTACCTCAAGGCCCTGCTGTCCAAGCGGGACCGGAAAGGGAGGTAAGGAGGGAAATTCCCATTCCCGGCAAATCCCATTCCCGGCAAATCCCACTGCCGGCAATTCCCATTCCCCAAGGCAGGGAATGTCACCCTCTCCCACCTCCCGCAGCTCCGTCAAGATTGATGAGAGCCTCGGCTCCCGGATCCGCTCCTACCTGCTCTCCTACATCTACATTCCCGAGGAAGGTGGGCACCTGGAAAATTCCATGGAATCTGGGAATGGTTGGGGTTGGGATTTATGGATCAGCCAGGCCATTCCCAAAATCCTGGGTTGCTCGAAGCTCTGTCCAACCTGGCCTGGCTTGGAGCCCGAATCCAGCTGTGCTTGGCACAGGGATCCACAAATTCATGGAAAAGGGATCCTGGGAGTGACGGGAATCCCAAGGAGGCCCCATAAATCCATGGAAAAGAGACCTGGAATGATGGGAACCCCATGGAAGCCCCATCTCCATGGAAAAGGGTTCCTGGGAAAGATGGGATCTTCATGGAGGCCCCATAAATCCATGGTAGTGACGGGATTCTCATGGAGAACCCATAAATCCATGGAAAAGTGGTCCTGGGTGTGATGGGAACCCCCATAAATCCATGGAAAAGGAATCCTCATGGAAGCCTCATAAATCCATGGAAGGGAATTGTCCTGCACGGAGAGGGTGAAATCCTGGGAATGCAGAGCCATTCCCATCCATGAAGGGGGCAGGGAATATCTCAAGTTTCCATGGAAAAGCAGGATGGACCCATCCGTCCATTCCCGACTCTCCATCCCAGCAGGAATTCCCTGAGGAAATCCCATTCCAAAGGGTGTTCCCTTTGCACCCTCATCCTGCTCCACCACCCCAAATTCCCAATTTT